AGGTTAACTTCTGAAATGAATGTCCAACTTGTCTGTCATGGTTGTGACCACTAGGTCATGAACCCATGAGGTCAACGTCCTTTTGTAACACTTTAACTTGTGTCAAACTGTCCCAAATTGCTCAGCTGTCCTGCGGTGGTTTTGAAGAGATGTTTCATATTTTTTCTTACAAAACGTAACATTCGGGACAAGGGCTTCTTCGAAATAACAATGCACGGGTGTGTCCTTAACATAATAGGCATAATTGACAAAAATCTTCCAAAATGTAAATATACAGGCCAGGAAAAAAGTTAACTTTTTACAGTAACACCTGTTGCAAGGCCTAGGTAAGGCCCAAGGAAAAAAATGTTGTGTTTCCTGTTTCAGTCCTGAAAAAAATTAGGGTCGGTAGGTAGGGGTTACCTTTTTTTTCTTTTTAGACTTCAGTGATATCTATAAAGGGATTCAACTTATACAATACAGTTTAACAAAGTAAAACTTGCATGAGGACACTTTTATTTTCAATGTCAATGTTGGAAAACTGATTGTACAACGTTTTACTAATTATCCCTCAAGTGTCAGATCATGAAGCTAGAAAAGGTTGATCAGCTCAAAAAATTTATGTCCCTTGCAGGGATCCACCCCCCAAAAAAAGTTTTTCTAGTGTCGGTTGGTCGGAAAGTTGAGGAAACAGAACATTTTTTTCCTAGGCCTAACTCTTGTTGCTACCATTGCTTGTTAGTCACTATACCTGTACTTTTTATATCAGGAAGATTTTACTATAATATTTGGGGGATGTACAAGAAAACTTTTATGTACCTGATTACATCACTTCCTTTTCAAACACTGCTAATAATCCCACTGTATTAAGTGTTATAGGTATTTTGTTTGTTGTGCGAAGAGAGACTTTATAAAAGCTAATTCGTCATTCCGACATTTTTACCACCAGTTAACCATCATCTGAATAACATTCCTGTGGCACCCCCTACAGTGATCAAGTGGAACGACCCTTAACCAAAATGCCACAAGTTCAAACAAGTTGTAACCGCACTCTTAACAACATCTTATTATAAGCGTACTTAAGTCTTGAGAGTTCACTGAAGAAAATGCACTACTTCATGATACTGTAATTCACTTTATGTTCACGGTAGCAAAAGTTCATGGTCTGAGAAAAATGGACATGTTCACGGAACTATATATTCACAGTGGTGACAGGTGCAGGAAAAAGAAAGTCCAGGAATTATTTGTTAACTGTAATGATAAATTCACACTACAGAAGTGACAGTGAATACAGTGAGCATAAAAGTACAGTGAAAAAATCAGGAATTGCAGTATGAAGTTGAAGTACAATACATGAAATACTACATCAATTTAAAGGCACTGAAACTTGAACTTCAAAGCTTCAAATTTCAAGCCTTCCCTTTATTGTTGGGTGCTGACTTTATAACCTTGTGTCCGCTGTATGACCCAGCCATGGAAACCAGGTGCTAGCACGATCGAAAAGAAGCCGATCTGGATTCAAAAGTTTACAAGTCGTACAACTGAGGAAACATCACGGCCCCACACGTGTTCAGCATATGTATTACACACACATGACAGAAGTCACGTTCGCGCTATACCGTGGACTATTGTCCTGCGCTGACATTGGAATGATTGAAATGTAGGCAGCGACTGACAGGGCAAACGTTTGCGTGGCCCGGTGCCAAAATGCGGTCAAGAACAATGGATCGTGTTAAATCTACGTAGGACAACAACAGCACTGTAGATTTTCCCTATCTAACATTGAATCAGCAACCACTGTCAGTATACAAATCTCACCTTACAGGTAGGAGCAATACAGAAAGGTGTTTACACGAAAAGAAATTCTCATGTTTTGAAACAATGTAGCACACACACACTCCCTTTCTCACACCACCCATGTAGCTACCTATACCCCCTTGTGACCCCATTACCCCCT